TCATGCTTGGGAGGGTGGAGGGACAGTGCAGGAGGGGAAGACCCTCTATGAGGTGGATTGATTCAGTGACTGGGGTAATCGGGATGGGTGTATCGGAGACAGTGACTGGCACAGACAGAGCAGAGTTTAGGGCTGTGTACATAGGGTCGCTATGAGTCGCAAGCGACTCGACGGCACATAACAACAACAACAACAACAACAACAACAACACATGGATACTTGAGTCTAGACTTTATCATTTCTTAGCCATGTGACTATGGGGTACTGCTGCAGATCTTGGACCCTGGACCACTCTTGTCTAAAGACAAAAACAACAAGCCCATTCACCTCAAAAGAAGCAAGTCACTGAACATAAATGATAGAACAACAAAAGCTAAATCATGATATACAAATCAAAAGTAGTATTACTGTGCTTAATAGATGTAATATAAATAAAAAAGGAGGAAGGTCTATTGTCCAGAGAGCTGCACTACTATCCCAAAGGCCATTTTTATTTTCATGTTTATTAAAGGGAAAATGAAAATTCAACACTGAAATGGATTCTACTTGTATAACTGAAACAAGTATGTTGGAAGTGGTTCTGTATACACGCTACATAAAAATGCTGCATGATTTCTGCTATGGTATTCATTGCCTTAAATGGTACCTGGTACATGATAGGCACTTAATAAATACTGAATGACAGAATAATACTGCAACTTGATAAGAAAAAAATTATACTACCGTTATCAGTTGAGAATTGATGCCTTTGAACTGTGGTGCTGGAGAAGAGTGTTGAAAATACCATGGACTGCTAGGAGAACAAATAGGTTCGTCCTGGAGGGTGAAACCAGGCTGCTCTTTGGAGACAAGGATTCTGAAGCTCTGTCTGACATACTTTGGGCATGTTGCAAGGAGGGACCAGTATTTGGAGAAGGATGTCATGCTTGGGAGGGTGGTGGGACAGCGCAAGAGAGGAAGACCCTCGATGAGATGGACTGATTCAGTGACTGGGGTAATGGAAGTAGGTGTGTTGGAGACAGTGAGGTTGGCACAGGCTAGGACAAGAGTTAGGGCTCTTGTACACAGAGTCACTATGAATTGCAAGCAACTCGAAAGCACATAACAACAAAAGTAACACGAGTGTCAATTTTCCCAAAGTTTATCAAATCCATTTCCTCTTTTGTGAATGATTATTACTTAATGTTAGAAATGAAATTCTGGTTGAAAAAAAGTACAAAAACTATAAATTGAGTTAGTTACTGAGAACTACTATTTATTCAGTCTCCCTCATTTTAAATGAAGATAAATGAAGACCAAAAAGGCTAATTAAAAATCAGTCTCTATTCAAAAATACCTCTAGTTGTTTTTCTTTCTCCCTAAAGTTTTTGAGTTCACAGTGATACTTATGCATTTCTGGAGGACCAATTGACTTCTCAGTAGCTTCAAGGAGCTCAATTTTGCTGAGTTTGGCAAATTCTCCAACTTTGTCCTAGAACAAAAATGAAGTATCAGCAACTATTTTACTTAAGGAATATATTTAAAAATTTCAAATTAATAATTACATTTGTTAAGATGGACTTTATGAAAATAAAATTTACCCATATCTATTAAATGCAAAAGAAAATCTCAGTGCTTGTATTTTCTTTCAAATAATTGTTCATTCTTTCAAATAAAGAGATCCTTTAAAAGAATGTCAATATTCTTAGACTAAACTGTTTCTATATATTAGTATTTTTATATATGAGTATATAACTGTTTTGGGGAAAGGAAAAATAATTTCTTGAACCGAAATAACCATAAAAAAACTCCCTACCACATCAGTTAGAAGTTAATAATAAAAGGCAATATTAAACATCTACATTTAGAGACAAACGGATAATGCAAAATGCCTTAAAATCCATTAGCTTCTCATTAACTAAAATTGCCTCTGTCCCTTTAAAAATATTCATACTGCAATCCCAGAGGTGCACAGTTTGAGTCCACCAGATGCTCTGCTGGAGAAAGAGGGACAATCTCTTTTTGTACCTGTCAAATCTGATTTAACGGTACACACACACAAAAGAATAATTTTTTAAAAAAAAAACATTCACACTGTTATCTGGTTTAAGTTCTGGTGGCTTAGCGGTGAGGAGCTGTGCTGCTGATCCACAGGCAAGCACTTAAAATCTACCTGTTGTTCTGCAGATAAAGATGAGCAATCTCTCCTGTATGATTTACAACTACTGAAAATTCCCTAGAGGGGCAGCTATGGGTTGGTTCCAACGTGAAGAGAAATGAACAATAATTTAGTTTAAGAGTGGAATTTCATTGCCAAAACAAAAGCGTGCACCTCCAATCTGCCAGGAACTCTAAGGGAGATGGGTGATGAGTGATCTCTTCCAGTACGATTTAGTCACAGAAATTCAACAAGAGGGTCAGCTATGAGTAGGTTCCAACTCCCTGGCAATGAAAGGCAATTTACTAAAAAGTTAAAACATATACTACAAAATAAAAAATTATGCTCTCTATCATATACCTGAGGTAGAAACTGGCAAAGATTGCCCACTTGAATATTTAAGGCTGCAATCTGCTCTTCTACTATTTTCTGGGTTGTAGCTTTTTTGTTGATAAACCAAAACGACTGATTTTTTGCCACATCAATTTCCCGGGTGATGACAAGATTTCCAGAAGCCTTGAACCTAGTTAAAAAAAATAGCATGATATAGTAATAATATGCACATTATTTTGAAAATAGTACTTCTAAAATCCTCTGCACCAAAGGTTGCCAGATAGGAATTTTATGACGCCTTCTGTATTTTGGCCCCTCTGAAGAAAGAAACCTTGACATTAGTAATACTACATCATTGAACACATTAACATTTAAAATTCTCTAAACTGCTCAGTTAAAAGGGGGGAGGGGGGGAAGGCCAATCTAAATTCATAAAAAACACCAGTCAACTGACACATCTGGAGTTTCTTTTTCTTTTAATAATTATGTGTTTCTTTGTGTCACACACACTGACTGCAATTCAAAATGGGGTGGAATGTTCAAGTATGTAATAGTCAAACCTCAGTATTTCCCCTACTTGGAAAATGTATGAAAACTGTTACATAAATAATTCCAGAAATAAAAACCACCTGTCTGTTCAAGTGACCCTGGTTTCCTCAGCATTTTCTCCTCTCTTAATTCAGTAAGGACAATAGCACATAGTTAGAAAGGAACATTATGCAATATGGAATCTGAAAGAAGGGTATTTACTTACTTCCTTCTTACAGAAGTACTACTGTTGCACATCCCTCAGCTATCCATCTATCTTCTTCAATGGGAACCAGCAGCATATGGTAGAAAAATAAATTACTGGTCTCCAATGGCTAAATAACAAATGCTGTATATAGAGATTATGCTGTAATCTTAACACCTGAAAGCAGTAAAATTTAAGACCTTACAATATAGTTTTAAACTTTCAATTCCAGTGAACACCCAACAAGGTACTTTTACTGATCCTTCTGCTATAGATGAAGTCATGAGATATGACAAAAGTAAGGAATCTGTCCAGAATCCTAGTGAAGGCAGAAAATCAGCTTTTAACTAGAGGGGAGTACTCAACCAGGTGAATTTCCTGGGCTGGGCACAGGGTGGTGGGCTGTAGACAAATCTAGAGCTACCCAAGGTGCAGAATCTGTTCGCAAAGGCCTAGACGCTCTAGGAGTTAATGCAAATAAGAAAGACTACATCACCACCACTTCAAGAACAAAACTCAAACTCAAAGCTGTCCAGTCAGCTGTGACTTACTGCAATCTCCTGAGTTTCTGAGACTATCCATTTTAACCATGGGGGAGTGCCCAGCTTTCTCCTGCAAAGCCACTGGTGGATTCAAATCCTGGGGATGTTTGAGCTTATGTTTAGTTTATGGATCACAGCACCAGAGCTCCTGTACAACTAAGTACGATGACAAAGTACACTGTCTGTCTCAAAACATGCTTCAAATAGTGAATAACAATAAAAAAAACCTTCCCTGAACTCAGACATCTAGCCTCAATTATGAGAATATAGTTTTCTGTGCTTTAAAGCTACCTATTTGTACCATTTCTGTTAGAGTAGTACTAAGTAACCATAATACAAAGAAGAGGGGGGAAAAATACTGAAATGTGTGACAATTAAAAAAAAGTCATTAAAAATAAGTCTAAACATATGTGTATTTACAGTATTTTTTTTCTTTCTCAGAATTTTCTTTACCAGACTGAGAAAGATAATAAAAATTTAATCAAGCTGGTATCCATGCTGGTCTTTCAAGTATAAAACACCAGAGTGCTGGAATGACTCTCTTGTTACCCAACATGCTAGGCTTCTATTATCACAGGTGGCCATGGTTTCACACCAGCATGGTGACTGGTAACCTCCCTTGTATGGCAAATGACAGCAGTTTGTGAGGTATAGAAAGTGGTCATCCACCCCCATGTACTCCTTCAGATAGCATTCAAAGGCCATGGTGAGGACACAGACAGGACCCAACCAGAGTGACAGATGCTAGTGTAGTGGTTGTCAAAATGATGAACCATGTTGCCATCAATGGTATGAAAGAATAGGTGCCTATAACTCTCAAATACAACTGAGTTTACATTATTGGATCCCAACTAATCAGGAACTGTCTTATGATTTTCTAACCAGAACCCTGCAATCTCCTGTACGGATTAAATTTTGACCTTCAATCCAATTAGTTTTAAAGTCAAAAGAGATGCATCTTATCTTTTTCTTAAAGTCTCCTTCAATTATTATTAGCCTATTTGGTTTCCTTAATGCCTAGTAGGTTGTCCAGAACCATTCACTTGATTTAAGCCAAAACGTCGATGCGAGTCCAAACCATGCAACGGGGAGAGAGATGGGTGTGAACTTGTTGAGTCTGGTTTTAGACAGTGCTCTGTGAAAAATGCCTTTGCACTGTCAATTTCTCTACATGAAGATGCAGTAATATACTTGTGGTCAGTAGAGTAGAGTAGATGGTCAACTTAATATTTAAACACATGACCTCTAAAAACAGACCTTAAATCAGACACCGTAGATGTGCAGATTCCCCCTTCACAATTACCCACGACCAGGACTAGCCCACTCTTTGTGAGAAAGGAAAGACATCTCTTACACCTGGTAACAGCAGCCAGAGCATCCATATTATGATAATTATAACTGACAGTATAATCTGAGTCCAAAGTGCACGCAGGATGCTTCTGAGGTAGGGTGGCATACAAATTACGTAACACCATGGGACTGGGCTGAGTGAGACAACAGTGCCTGTGTGCACAGTTCAGACAAAAAGCCTCTGGCTACAGATGCATCACAGACTGACAACAAATGTAAACAAAATATTCAAGCAAATGGCATAAACTTACTGATTAATTCAGAACAATCTTAAATGCAACAAATAATGTCCTCAAAATATATAAAGCAAAAATTGAAAGGAAAACAAAGATAACTGATAAAGCTACAGTGGGGTAGTACCACCTACCTCTTTCTCAGTAATTAAAGAACCCATCCAATTGATCTTTAAGTTCATCAAATACAGACTCCCACGCTCAACAGCAGCAGAATATTCTCTTTCCAATAAAACAAGCAGCATTTACAAAAATCAAACCTCAATAAATTTCAAAGCACTGGTATTCCAAAGACTGCTGCTGTTGCTATGTGCCACTGAGTTGCCTGCGACTCATAGAGACCCTATGTACAATAGCCCTCTGCTCTATCCTGTGCCAACTTCACGGTCTCCGACACACCCACCCCAATTACCCCAGTCACTGAATCAATCCACCTCATAGAGGGTCTTCCTCTTTTGCGCTGTTGCTCCACTCTCCCAAGAATGACGTCCTTCTCCAAGGACTGGTCCCTACTTGCAACCTGTCCAAAGTATGTCAAAGCCTCAGAATCCTTGCCTCCAAGAGCAGCCTGGTTTAACACTCTCCAGGCTAAACCTGTTCATTTTCTCTGTAGTCCATGGTATATTCAATTCTCTTCTCCAACACCACAGCTCAAAGGCATTAATTCTCCTTCTATCCTCCCTAGTCACTGACCAGCTCTCTGACGCATACCAAGTGATTGCAAAGACCATGGCCTGTTTCAGATGCACCTTATTCTCCAGAGTGACACCACTGCTCTTCAGTACTTTGGAGAGGTCCCTAACAGCAGACTTTCCCCTAGAAATGCATCTTTTAATTCCAAAGACTACATTCTTTTAACCATACTACAATTAAAGTAAGTAACATTTAAAAAATAGGAAGCAAATCACCACCGCAGAATAAAAAACTTGCAATCCTAAATTCACAATAAAAGTGAGGGGAAAAACCTCACTCGAGACAGAAAACTAGAATGTCTATTTAAATTCATGCTGAGTTAAGTAAAATAATACCAAGAGTAAAAAGTTTATCTTTTATTGTTAATATTAGCAAAAACAGGGCTAAACTTAGTTTAAAAAAAAAACCATTTCGAGAAATTGGAAATCAGATGTAGGTTGACAAAACTGGATTCCTTCCATTATGGAAAGGGCAGTGTTTTATTCTTCTGGACAACTTGATACAAATGCTTCTGCCAAAATTACCATTCATTAAAAAAAAAAAAATTTTAAAAAAGTATTACCATTCATGGTAAAACATCTTATGGATACACCATGGAATCCCATTCTGTATTGCCCAAGATAAAGGATCTCATAGTAAACAAAGGGAGGCAGTGGGCCCATGCTCGTGAAATTCACTGGTCCTATCACGTTTCCGCATCATCTGGAAGCAGCTGGCTTGGCAGAATGATAAAATATGGTTTTAAAGTCATGGTACCAGTTAGGTGGCAAGAACAAGCAGGGCTGGGACAATGTTCTCTTACAGGCTGTCTATGCTCTAAGCTAGTGTTCAATACATAGTGCTTTTCTCTCATGGCCAGAATTCATGAATCCAAGAACCCAGGCATGAAAATGGAAGTTGAACCACTCACAATTAAGTGTTCAGGTCTTTTGTTCATAGGGTTGCTATGAACAAGTCGTCTATGACTCGACAGCATTTAGCAACAACAACAGTGAGATAGCTCTGTTGGCCTAGTGGATAGAAAGTTATGTTATCAAGCCAAAGATGGGTGACTTTAATCTGTGGCCCCCAGGCTACACTGTCACACTGATGTGTCAAATGTGATAATGGTTACCCATAGTGGGCAGTGTTTGGTGGAACTCCCCTATTAAAACAAGCTTGGAAGTAGGAGTGGCATCCACTTCTGAAATAGCTTGCCTCTGTAAACTCTATAAACTTGGAGAAACGATGAAAGTTATACAAGTGTTCAGGTCTTTCATTCATAGAGTCTCTATGAGTCATCTACAACTCAACAGCACTTAACAACAACAACAAACCACTTGTAAAATGATGACTTTTGGGCCTGCAACACTATGCTCTGTAGGTACTACCAGAGTCTTAGCTCCATAGAAAGAAATGCTGCTAGCAGGAGACACAACACTGATTCCACTGAAGTGGAGGATAAGAATGCCACCTACTGAATGGGCAAAGAAGCGAGTATCTGCAATGAATGATGTGTGATTAATCTTGATTACCAAGGGAAAATCTAATTGATGTTACATCATGAAAAGAAAGGAGAAAAAAAAGAGTATGTGTGGCATACAGAAGATCCTTTGGGTGTCTCTTAGCATTCAGCACTTCTACCTATGCTCTACAATTA